CAAAAGACAGACATATGTTACAACAATGGAGAAGAAAACGTACACGTTACAAGAAAGTAGAGTAGAGTTGTGAGCAGGGCCGGATTGAAGAGTGGGCAAAGTGGGCAGTTGGCCAGGGGCCTCCACATATTCTAATATTGTATTGATTTGGTTGATTTTATTTTCAATCTTTAAAATTCATGTTTATCACGTGATAGAAATTAGGCTAGCTACTCGTTGAAATTGACGACTGGGTGGTTTTCCTATGAACCGTCTATTTTGAATGAATGCTGTGGTGGTAATAATATGATATTTAGAATTGCGGAACTCCCAGATGATTAGGTTCGCTTCACTCGCCACCCCACCCTCTTGGGGTAGTTATAATGAGGGGGGCCTCCACAGGTCTAATAAATCTGGCACTGGTGGTAAGTGGTATTAAGAACCTGGCAGGCCTCTCCATACAGTGTACCCTTAGACTAACATAACTAATATTTAACAATTAACATTGAACTAACATCTTAGCCCCCAAAAAAATGTGACTACCCTCCCAGCTACACAAGGACCTGGGCTGGCTCACTAACTCCAACAATAATAAAAATAATAATAATAAGCAGCATTATATAAATAGAGCAATATTAATACAAAGGTCTGACGACCCAAGGGAGCAGAACAAAGATAAAACACCAATAAGAAAGATTCTTTCTACTCCTACTGTATTTCAGTTTCACCACTTTTCCCTCAACCCCTAATAATTTTCTTTCACCTCTTAACTAAAGATTTCGTACTCGTACTCGTGCTGTTTGTCCTCTGCGGATGACTATAATATACTCGTCAGTTACATGGACCAGTTTCTAGTTGACATAGCAATGGTTAGAGAGATATTTGCTATCACAATTTGATAATGATTTATTGGGTCAGGTCTCAGCTCACACGTACCTTAGAGAGTAAATGTGGTACCTGATAATATAGAGTACATTTATGTCAAGGAATTATTATATAACATTTAGTAGCACGTAAGATGGCATAGTATAGAATGTTACCACGATGTTTTTGTTTTACATTGTTTTAATTAAGTTATAAATATATACTGTACGTAAAGTATTTGACGGTAATGGGAAAACATTACTCGGGTCTTGACTTTATTAAATTCACCGTTGATAGTTCTCACCAAGGAATGGATATGTGAGTGACTGACTGTAGGGTATCTTGTTATTTCTATCTTGGAAGAAAACTTTATTGACTACGATACTGCGAGACCTTATGCTTGGTGGTGCAACGGAGAGCAAAGGATCTGGATAATCCCCTCGTTTGGTTGTGACGGTGTTTACCGGAGAAGAAGTTCGGGGTCCCGGAAAGCACGAATCTGGCAGTTTTGAGCTGGGAAACTTTGGCTATATTTCATGAAATGGACTTTGTTGGAGTTTGTTTGAATAATGTTGAAGATGACACCAGATTTTTTTAATGTATCCTTGTACTTTGACGCCAAGGTGAAGAATAAAATGCTGAAAATTTGAAGTTATTCGAATGAGCTGGTTCGGTGAGCAGAGAGCAAATAATTTGACGGTTCGCCGGGAAGTTTGGGGTATTTAAAGGTCGAACCGGCAAGGATGCATCAGTTACAATCCGATCCTTGTGTCTGGTGTTAGAACTCCTTTAGTTTGTAAAGAAGAAAAGATATGAAAAGTGTAGTATTTAAAGTTGTGTTTAGACATTTGGCTGTTAGTGTTCCGCATTGGAAATGTTTTCTTAAACATTTTTCTGTGGTTTTTAATACAAGTCATAGAAGTATTTGACTTGTGGCCTGTGAAACATATTTAAGATTTCTGTCTGTGGTTAACTAGGGAGATTTTGAAGTTGTTCTTAATTCAAGTTCTTAGAGTACAGGATATTTAAATTGAAGACGGTAGTTTAATTGAAATGAAATCCTTTAAGTGTTTAACGTGTTAAGTGGTTTAAAAAGTTGAAGTGTTAATAGTGTACTTTGTGAAATTGGCGGAATATGTTGTGTTTTTGCAAGAAATCGTGTCATCTCGTTGGTGAGTGATGGAAAGTGAATTCATGAGCATGTAGATTGTGTAGCAATTTCATTATTGAAATATTGTCTCGATCTGAAGTTGTTTGGATGCGAAGTTCAATGCAGTTTTAAGTGATGGTGGTGGAATCTTGAAAATGAGTGATAAGAAAAATAAAAGATGCAGCATATATGTGTACATTGAGCTTGGACAGTTCATAGTGATCGTGGTGGAATCGTGAAAGAAAAAAGATGCAGCATTTGTGTGTCGAGTAGTAAACCATACGTGTGTGTTTTGATGCGTATAGTAGGAGATTGGAGGTGTTGTGCATATAGTAAACCGGAAAAGTGGAAAAGAAAATAAATCTCCCGACAGCGACGTTTTGGTAAATGAGGGGTGAGGGCAGGTAAGTGACTATTGATGTTTAGTTTCTTTAGCGAGGTAAAGATTGGGATTTGACATAAATAACAATATTGATATGGGTGAGCCAATTGGTAGCCTGCTTTGAGTGTATGAAAAATAAGCGGCATAAAGCACGAGACCCAGGGTCGGGTCGATGTATATTTAGCTGACTACATTCAAAACGTTCGACTTTACTTTTATTCTCTTCGCCACTGATCGGCTTGTTAGCCGCTTGGGCGATCGGTCACGTCTCTTTTCCTTTATAGTCTTGACCAAAAGGTCGGCTCGCTAGCCGCCTGAGAGATTGGAGCGCCTGAACTTGCTTAGCTTATACTAAAGACGGGCAAGGGGGGACCTAGTTGAGCTTTATAAGCATCTCAGGGGGCACTACTTAGTTGAGTGTCCTTGCTTGGAGCTGGCGGACGCTCGCCCCACAAGGGGTCACAGCTCAAGATTGAAGAAGCCGCCAGTCCGGAAAACCGTGAGGGCAAACTTTTTCGGAGTGAGGGTTGTAAATTCTTGGAACAATCTATCAGAGAGTGTTGTGACGGCACCGAGTGTGAGCTCTTTCAAGAGAAGACTTGACCAACACTGGAGCGGGTTCAGGTACATTCAGGAGCCGGTGCATGCCCAGTATTTGCCAACAGTGCGTGACAGAGACGTGACCGATCGCCCGGGTGGCTAGCGAGCCGACCTTTTGGTGAAGAATATAAAGGAAAAGAGACGTGACCGATCGCCCAAGCGGCTAACAAGCCGATCAGTGGCGAAGAGGATAAAAGTAAAGTCGAACGTTTTGAATGTAGTCGGCTAAAGATGCATCGACCCGACCCTGGGTCTCGTGCTCACAATTTTACTTGTGAGTACTTAGGCTGTATGTAAAGGCGATTGTGATTGGTGGATCTGTTTTGGGTTGTATGACTTTTAGGAAAATGATTAAAGATAGGAAAGGTTGATTTTTTTTTGTAATAAAATAATCATTGTTATTTAAATTCATGGGAAGTTAAGATATGTTCGTATATTTGGTTAAATAGTGAAGAAATTTGTATTAATGAGTTTTGTAGTTGGCATAAAATGTAGTGGGTGTTTTTTTTAAGATTTTGTAGTAGTTTATTTTCAGAAAATAGCAACCGCAAGGAAGCCGCAGTGGGCTGCCGCATGAGCGTTAAGTTGGAGCCAACTAGCGTGGGAAAGGTTGATTTTTGCAGAGACGTGACCGGCACAGAGGTAGACCCCGAATTTCGAGTTTAGGTGAATGAAATTGTTGAATGGGTGTTGTGTTTGTGCTGTTATATACTGGAGGCTATATAATGGTACTACACTGTCGGTTGTGTGTGTGTTTGTTTATGGTCGTATTTCGTTGTCTGTTATGGTTCATGTGTTAGTTTTATACGCAGACTAGAGTGTTCTTAATTGTTATTGTGTATGTGCTTTTGTTTAATTAATTTTGACTTGTTTGTTGTAAATTTTGAAGGTTGATGCCTTTTATTGCAGGTGTACGGAAGGCTTATACTGTGGAATAGAGAAGAGAACGTGGCCTAAGTTTGTAGGTGATGTCTAGCGCGTCTACACTTGCGGTGAGGAATTCGTCAATATGGTATTTAAAATGGAAGGTGTAGTTGTTTTTGACTAAAGAGAAGTAGCTGTAATATGAAAATTGAGAAGTGGTTCATGGCTAATATATTTGTATTGAGAATTAGTGTAAGTTTTATAGGTTAGGTAATAAATGCATTTTTTCAGGTTGTTGTTGGAGGTGGAAGGAGCCGGTATTTTTTTGAGGTAGACTAGGGGAATAGTGAGGGTAAGTGACGTTGAAGTTTGTAAAATAGTTGTTAAATTTTAAATAGATTTTTGGTCTTGTGCCGTAGAGCAATAGAAATGTTAAAAGTTGACATTAAAATAAATGATTGTGGCTTGAGTTTGGTAATGTTAAGTTTAAAATGTTGAATTTTGTGCCTCGGCTGTAGATTAAAGAAAATGTAAATGAGTTTTGATAAATTGATTTTATTATATAGTAGTGAGAGATTTGATAAATGGATAACGAATGACCTTTTTTCAGGTTGGGGTCTGGTGGTGGTCCTCGGTTCTCTAGTGCACCCTAAAGTGCCTAGAGACGGGCACGGGGAGACATAAGTGAGGTGTATAAACCTGTGAAAGGGCACTACTTAGTCGAGGAACCGTACCCATAGCTGACTGACGCCCGCCTCACAAGGGGTCACAGCCGAAGTGGGGGTGCCGGCGGTAGAGCGGTATCGCTCTCGCCTCGCAAGCGAGACGTCTCGGGTTCGATTCCCGGGCCGGTGGAAAGTGGGTTGGACACACTTCCTAGACCCCCTCTGTCCCTGTTGACCTAGCAGTAAAGTAGGTACCCTTTGTAAATCGAAAGTTGCGAATTCGTATCTGGGGAAAGTCGTCGGAGCTAGCCGATAAAATGTTAAAGACTGGAGGGTTGTACGCCCTTGACAAAAAATGCTTTGATCCTTTAGGCAAGCACAAAGTTGGCATGCTGCCTAGTTGGGCGGTGTAGGCGCTTGTGCCCTTCACCTTGCATGGGAATAAGGGACTTCCACTCTCAAAAGTGATAATGAGAACGAAAATGCTAGAGAATATAGTCTTGTGTTGACTGTATCGACTAACCAAGAGGAAGTATGGTCGCCATCCAGAGGTGGGGGAGAAGCCGATGTTGGAAAGGATCCAAGTGTTGTAACCAGTCGCCCTGTGCAGCATGTGCTAAAAGGTAATGTATACTGTTAAGTGGTTGAAGGTGGGGTCTGTTTGATATGAAAATGAAGAGGGACTTTGGTCGTGGTTATTGATGTGGTAATTGTTTTCTACAGGAGTTGTTGCAGTCCAGAAGACATGATTGGTGTGTGTGATAATCCAGAGGGACATTAACGCTCGACTGAATGTTGGAAATGAGAGGCAGTAAAGGTGTAAGTATTGTTTGTTGAAGTTGTACCTATACTTTGTTATAATTTGAAGTAGAGCTTTTGTAACATTGACGTATTGTTTTTTGTTTTCATGTTGGTGGTGGAGGAATATGGGCGAATTGTTGAGAGGAGCGCGTCGACACTGGATACGGTGATGTCAAATTGTGCAATGTATTATTTGAAGGTGAGTTGTTATTGTATTTGAAAGTTGTAGGTAAAGTTTGTTATAAGAGGCAAGTGATATATGAGTTTTTTCGGCTAGCAGTACCCATTGATGTTTAAAGTTGGGAGAAATAAGCATGGTGCATTATGGAGGTTGTGTGAAAGGTTTCTGTTGTTTTTCAGGTTTGAGGATGGAGTGGTGGTGGGTAGTGCCGTAACCAGGTTGCAGAAAGGGTGGCCTACTACATGTATGGGGCTGTGCAATGGACTGTGTTGAGGAGAAGAAGCAGCAGTAGCAGCGGCGGCAGTTGTTTAAGATAAGTAGTGTGGTGTGGTGCATCGTGAATTGTTTGTGATAGTTTAGGGTCATAGTGAATTTAGTTGTAAGAAATTGAGTATAATGTAATTGTTGGAAGACGTGTATAGTGATGTAAATTGTAGGTTAGTTTTGGATTAGTATATGTGGAGAATGGATGTAGCAGGTAATAGAAATGTTGGGACTAGTGTAGAGGCATATATATATAATTGGTGAGTGGCGTTGGAGCGGTTTAGGGCGTGAAAGGTTTATGAATTGTTGTGGGGGAACTAATGTGTTGATGTGTTTGTTTTTTTAGGCCGGATTGGAGTGGTAAGCGGCAGTGATGGTGGAAGAGCCAGTGGTTATTCGGCGACGGAGATGGGAGCGAAAGGGTAAGGAGCCGATTGTTTGTGTTAAAGAGGAAGCGTTTGTTTGAATTTGGTTAAGATGAAAGGTGGGTATGTATTGTAATTGTATAGAAGTTAGTTGGTAGCAGGCTAGTATTGTTGTTACACACTGGAGGCTGTGTAATGATTGGTACTAGCCTTGGTGAATGGTTTGTAGTAGAGTATGTGTATGTTGGTATTTGTAGCGGTTTAAAAGGAAGCAATTTGGTTTTGGTAGATATGTCTAAGAGAGTGTATGCATGAACACTTTTTGGAATGGTGTTTATTATGGATGTTTTTTTTTCAGTGGAGCGAGTGGTGTAGGGTATGTTCCTCGTGGTAAGAGTAAGGAAGGAGACGACCAAGTATTGTGCATTTACCTCGGCGGTTACGAAGAAAGGAAGAGGCACGTCGACGACGGAGCCGGGAATAACCGCGGAGGTTGCTCCATACCAAGAGATAGTGTTTTTGTGGGTGAATTATTTGAGCAATGATAGTTTGCCCAGAAGTGTATATTGTAGGTAGTATAAGAAGAGCACCATGAAGAGTTTCCCGAGTGACGAAGCCGACGGGTGGACTGCATTTGATAGAAAAGGCCATTACGAGTTGACCTCCATTGTTGTGTTTTGTCGGTTTCAGATTGAAGCGACGGGGCGAAGTCGCTGTAAGGAGCCGAGAAGATGATGTCCTGTTAAAGTATAGCCGTCGTCCCTGTGACTGGAGCCGAGAAGAAGGCGTCCTGTGAACGTATAGCCGTCGTCCCATTGACTGGGGTGTATGGAGCCGAGAAGATGGTGTCCAGTGAATGTATAGGTGTCGGTGACTGGAGCTGAGAAGATGTCCCATGAACTTCTAGCCGTTGTCCTTGTGACCGGGGTGTATGGTGTCCAGTGAATGTATAGCTGTTGTCTCTGTGACTGGAGCCGAGAAGATGTCCCGTGAACTTCTAGCCGTCGTCCCTGTGACTGGAGCCGAGAAGATGTCATGTGAACCTAATAGCCGTGGTTCCAGTGACCGGGGTGTATGGAGCCGAGAAGATGGTGTACAGTGAATGTATAGCTGTTGTCCCAGAGAAGATGTCCTGTGTTCCAGTGACCGGGGTGTATGGAGCCGAGAGGATGATGTCCTGTGAAGGTATAGGTGTCGTGACTGGAGCGGAGAAGATGTCCTGTGAACCTAATAGCCGTGGTACCAGTGAGGGGAGAAGATGATGTCCTGTGAACGTATAGCCGTCGTCCCATTGACCGGGGTGTATGGAGCCGAGAAGCTGGTGTCCAGTGAACTTCTAGCCGTATGGAGCCGAGAAGATGATGTTCTGTGAATGCATAGGTGTTGTCCCTATGAAGATGATGTACTGTACTGTATTATATTGCTAAGTGTATAGAATATATGTATTTGAGTTGAATTTTGTGTTTTCTTTATTGCCTGATGTGCATTTTGAGTGACACATAAGGTAGAAGATGACGACGACAAGTGATTAGGCACCAGAAGAAGTGGAGCGACATGAGAAGATGAAGGTAATGTGTGAAGAATTGAGATTAGTTAATGTAATATGATTATATGTAAAGTAAAGTAAAGATGTTGAAACGCATCATTGAGATAATATGATTATATGTAAAGTAAAGTAAAGATGTTGAAATGCATCATTGAGTTTAGTTGATGTAATATGATTATATGTAAAGTAAAGTAAAGATGTTGAAATGCATTATTGAGATTAGTTGATTATAAGTAAAGTAGTTGAAATGCATCATTGAGATTAGTTAATGTGACTTGTAATGCTGTTTTTGTTTCTCCCTTTTCTGACAGGTACACGGGAACACATGTGGTGTTGTTTAGAGTGTTTATTGAGCAACAAAGGTGATTTTTCAACTGAGAGAGAGTAGTTATTCCTCATTGGTTGTGAGTTGGTGTTTTGATGTTTGTTTGCAAACAAAAGCTCGGACATTGTCGATCTATCACACGACTAGTCCATAGACACGATATCTGTGTCGAGAGAGCTTTATGACTAAACCTATTGACAATATGGTTAAAGTCAGTTTGCAAACAAAACATTAAAATACTAACTTAAAACTAATTTGGAATAACTACTTTCTTTCAGTTGAAAAATCACCTTTGTTGCTCAATAAACACTCTAAAATAACTTATATAATAAAGATGGGGTTGCCAGAACCTATCTTAAAAAGATAGCGACTTTGAAAAAAATCCCGTTTTCTGTTCAACTTAAGAAAATGGGAAACCATCAAAGAAAATGGGAAATTTCTCTGGCTCCAAAACTACCGTTTTCTATGACATCCCGTTTTCTACAACATCATGCTTTGCTTCTCCAAATCCAATATGGCTGTATGTTAACTTAGGAAAAATAAAGACATTGATTATATACTTTCTTTTATTATGCTCAAAATATTTCTATGTCCACATACATGAAAAATATACAGTCCACAAATAATGAAAAAATTTCTAAGTCCACAACACAACAAAAAAATACTAAGTCCACAACACATGAAAAAATACTAAGTCCACACAACAAAAAATTACTAAGTCCACACAACAAAAAAATACTAAGTCCACAACACATGAAAAAAATACTAAGTCCACACAACAAAAAAAATACTAAGTCCACACAACAAAAAAATACTAAGTCCACAACACATGAAAAAAATACTAAGTCCACACAACAAAAAAATACTAAGTCCACAACACATGAAAAAAATACTAAGTCCACACAACAAAAAATACTAAGTCCACAACACATGAAAAAATACTAAGTCCACACAACAAAAAATTACTAAGTCCACACAACAAAAAAATACTAAGTCCACAACACATGAAAAAAAACTAAGTCCACAACATGAAAATTTTTCTATGTCCACAAAAAACGAAAAATTTACTAAGTCCACACAACCAAAAACATACTTAGTCAACACCACAAAAAATACTAAGTCCACACACCATGAAAAATTTTCTAAGTCCACAAAGGATGAAAAATTTTCTAAGTCCACATGACATGAAAAAAAACTAAGTCCACAACATGAAAATTATTCTATATCCACAAACAACGAAAAATTTTCTAAGTCCACACAACAACAAAAAATACTAATTCCACACATGAAATTATTATAAGTCCATAAAGGATGGAAAATTTTCTAAGTCCACAACACAGGAAAAAAAACTAAGTCCACACAACAACAAAAAATACTAAGTCCACGCAACAAAAAAATACTAAGTCCACAACACATGAAAAAATACTAAGTCCACAACACATGAAAAAATACCAAGTCCACACAACATGAAAAATTTCTAAGTCCACAAAGAACGAAAAATTTGTTAAGTCCACATGACATGAAAAAAACCCAAGTACACACATGAAAATATTCTAAGTCCACAACACAGCAAAAACAACTAAGTCCACACACCATGAAATTTTTCTAAGTCCACAACATGAAAATTTTTCTATGTCCACAAAGAACGAAAAATTTACTAAGTCCACACAACCAAAAACATACTTAGTCAACACCACAAAAAATACTAAGTCCACACACCATGAAAAATTTTCTAAGTCCACAAAGGATGAAAATTTTTCTAAGTCCACAACATGAAAATTATTCTATGTCCACAAACAACGAAACATTTTCTAAGTCCACAACACAGGAAAAAAAACTAAGTCCACACAACAACAAAAAAATACTAAGTCCACACACCATGAAAATTTTCTAAGTCCATAAAGGATAAAAAAATTTTCCAAGTCCACAAACATAAATTAGTCCAATTCCACAAGAGGAAAAAAAACTAAGTCCACAAAGACAATATTTCAAACTCCACAAACAAAGACAATATTTCAAAGCACAAAATATGAAAAATATACCAAGTCCACACACATTGAAAATTATTACAAGTCCACAGGATAAAATAATACTAACTCCACAACATATGAAAATTTTTCTAATTCCACAAACAATGACAATATTTCCAAATACAAAAACAAACAATAAAATAATACAAAGTCCACAAACATCAAAAATATAATAAGTCCACAATCGATGACAATTATTCAAAGTCCACATACATTAAAAGTTATTCTAAGTCCACAAACATTGAAAATTATTACAAGTCCACACAAGTTAAAATAATACTAACTCCACAACATATGAACATTTATCTAAGTCCACAAACAATGAAAATTTTTACAAGTCCACACACGATACAAAATTATTCCCGGTCCACGGACGTAATACATTAATACGGAGCCACAGACGATAAAACATTTTCTATATCCACAAAATATTCAAATTCCACAAACAGAAAAAACATACCAACTACACATACACAAAGGCTAAAATAATACTAACTCCACAAACATCATAAATTATTCCAAGTCCACATACATTACAAATTATTACAAGTCCACAGAGGATACAAATTATTCTAAGTCCACACAACATGACAAAAATACTCAGTCTACATTGACAATTATTCAAAGTCCACAAACGATAAAATAATAACAAGTCCAAATACATATTAATTATTCAAAGTCCACACAGGATCAATTAATACTAAGTCCACAAAGGATATTCAAAGTCCACAATCATTATACATTATTCAAAGTCCACATAAATTGAACATTATTCCAAGTACACAAACAATAAATTATTCAAACTCCACAAAATATTCAAAGTC